TTCTTTAGGTAAGGAGTCACATTGAAAATGTCACTGCATTGGGTTCTTTAGAAAGGGAGTAACATTGAAAATGTCACTGCATTGGGGTCTTCAGGCAAGGAGTCACATTGAAAATGTCACTGCATGGGGTGCTTTGGGCAGTGAATCACATTGAAAATGTCACTGCATTGGATTCTTTAGGTAAGGAGTCCCATTGAAAATGTCACTGCATTGGGTTCTTTAGGCAAGAAGTCACATTAAAAATGTCACTGCATGGGGTGCTTTAATTAAGGACTCACATTGAAAATGTCACTGCATTGGGTTCTTTAGGCAGTGAATCACATTGAAAATGTCACTGCATTGGGTGCTTTGGGCAGTGAATCACATTGAAAATGTCACTGCATTGGGTTCTTTAGGCAAAGAGTCACATTGAAAATGTCACTGCATTGGGGTCTTCAGGCAAAGAGTCACATTGAAAATGTCACTGCATTGGGGTCTTCAGGCAAGGAGTCACATTGAAAATGTCACTGCATGGGGTGCTTTGGGCAGTGAATCACATTGAAAATGTCACTGCATTGGGTTCTTTAGGTAAGGAGTCACATTGAAAATGTCACTGCATTGGGTTTTTTAGGAAGGGAGTCACATTAAAAATGTCACTGCATGGGGTTCTTTAGGCAAGAAGTCACATTAAAAATGTCACTGCATGGGGTGCTTTGGGCAGTGAATCACATTGAAAATGTCACTGCATGGGGTTCTTTAGGCAAGGATTCACATTGTATAGATATGCCAAAAATAGGCCGTTATAAATTGGGCATTTGCGACAAATTTATCTACTACTGACAACTGCCAATTTCTTACAATCTCCATGCACTTTCTGAATCATCACAAGTAAAATACACGACAAATTAATCTGGGATAAACATTTATTAAAAGACATTCCTGTATACTTCATAAGTAAACAAACAACAAATGAATTTCTGAGCACTGTGAATGCCTTTAAGCAGTACACTTTACCGTAACTGAATACATAGTTTCCGAACATAACATTAACTGTACACAAATTCCCGAACAATAATACTGGTAAGTGTAAATTTTGAGAGAAGAGAGCAATTAACATTTAATACTTACGAAAATATGGCGTAGACTAATTTATATACAACCGATTCACTGTAAATTGTGATCAGTTACAGTATGATATCACGTTTCAATATGAATAATGATTATGTATTACTGTGGAATACTTTATTTTCACTGGAATTTATTTTCGCTGAAAAGGCTTTTTGGGCGTTTTGCTTGGAATTTATTTTCACTGATTTTTGATGAGATTAATGTAAAATATAGGAAAAAAAGTATATTTGCTGGATTTTATTTTCATGGAATCATCCCTTCAGCGAAAATAGCAAAAATTTAGTATTCTACAGTATAAGGATAACATCAAAAGTTCAATGTAGTATAAAAAACTTAATTCCTTTAGTTTTTCCCAACCCCCTCCCAACCCCTCACTGAAACTTAATTGATAAATATTGATCATGGCGTCAGACTACATTTAAATACAAATTGATAATCAGACATTAGTATGGCATAGCAGTTGGTCGTCAGGTGGGTGTAAAAAAGGGCAATATACGCATACACAAACTACTTTTCTGGGTTCTGACATGCTCTAAGTCCATGCCCTGAAATCGACCTCATTTGACGCACATATTTACACTCGGACCAAACCATGCTCTCGTCTTGGATGTGTGTTTTTTCATTTTCTGTTATTTTTTTCCATGACTGGATAGAAAAAAAAAAAACTACAAATACTCCAAGATTTTGTTGACTTCATTAAAAAATAAAAATGTTTTTGTAGGATGGAAACTTTATGAGTTCAAACCCCCACCCCCACCCCACTCCGCTCCAAACTAAAGCAAATAAGTTTTTCATCAGACATCGATCTTTTGAAGTCGTGGATAGACTTCAAGGATATATTCAAGTGCAGCATATAAATTAGCATACTTGACATACCAAGTTCACCAAAATTTAAGTCAATGTCGATTTTGAAGACACATTTTCACATATCTCTACAAATATATGTGGCTAAACTCACCAATATTGAATTAAGCCAAAATTATATGTCCTCGACAATTATGAGAATGCTAGACGGATGAATTAACTTTTATTCGTTGAATTTCAATTTATTATAGGCAAGGCGATTCATATTGGTGATGTTATCATATTTTTCACCAAAATGTTGGTGGAATCATTTTCCATGTTTTGGATCAAAATTTACATGATTTCCAATTTGTTAAATATAGAGAAAATCATGAAATTTGTGAAAAGTAAAAAAAATAAAGGTGATTTTTGAGAAAGTGTTAGAAATACAAATATTTCATGTATTCTTTCACAATTCAACCATTTAGGGACGACCTCAAAAGATCGATGTCGGATAAAAAACTTATTTCCTTTAGTTTGGGGGTGGGGGGATTTTGACCTCAAAAAGTTTCCATCCTACAAAAACGATTTTATTTTTTAATGAAGTCAAAAAAATCTTGGGAGTATTTGTAGTTCGTTTTTTTTTTCTATCCAATCATGGACAGAAATAACCGAAAAGGGAAAAAAACAGAAAAAT